AAAAAAAAAAAAAAAAAAAAAACCTGGCCCGAAGTTCCTAAATTGCGCCCAATCTTTCCACCCCCATGAGTGACTTATCCCAATGTTCCATGATTCACCGGGGAGGTTGGAAATCGGGGATTCTCTTGCCTAGAGTTCCTCCTCTGCCTTCTCCTCCTTCCAAACCCACTCACTGCAGGCACATGATCCCACGACAAATTTCTTCCAACTTGGAGTTCAAAGAGAAGTCAGCACCTGTCACCGGGAAAGGGGACACAACCTGGAAAGTAAGAACCTGCGACGGTTGGAGGGAAGTGGATGGAGGGAAGTGATGTCGCCCAACTGAGATGTGTGAGTTATCTGGCTCCCTCCGGCTCCAGTAACTTACCTCCCTTTCCCTCCAGCACCTGGCGGTTCCGCCCCAAACAGACAGCCCCCACAGTGGAATAATAATGAGTCACCAATGGCAGAGATGAGAGAGTTGGGGAAAGCCAGAGCCCAGAGAGAAGGCCAGACTTGTCCAAGATCACACAGCGAAGAGGGACAAGGGACAGGCAGGACCGGAACCCAGATCTTCGTCCCAGGCTCCCAAGGATAATGCTGCCACCACCATGGGACTCGGTCCTCAGCGCAGCTACAAACTTCTCTAAACAACTCTCTTCCCTAACTCTAACTCAGAGGGATCAATGGAAATTACACTTTTCGGGGGGAGTTGCAATTCTTGCAAAATCACACAATGGAAGGATGTCGCAACTTCAAGAAGACTGGGGATCACTGCTCCAAGGAGAATTCGAAATGATCCTGGGAATTCAGTCTAAGACAAGGCAGTGACAGGAATGACTGAGAGGCCCTTTCCAAGGCTACCCCATCTTGACCAGGTGGGTCTTGTGCCCCTCTCCAGGTCCACTTTCCACTTGGGGGCAAGGGGTGGGGGGGGGGCATAAGTCTCACATTCCTACCAAGTTCCCGCAACAGTGACCTTATTGGGCAAGACATTTCAACACGCCTGGCCTCGGGTTCTTCATCTGTAAAATGGAAATGAAAATCCTCCTGAGGACATGAATTATGGATGTGGAACGCGCTGAGAATCTCAGAGAAATGTGCTAAAAGGGATAACAGTGGTGGCAAGAGGAATAACAACAGTTAGACCACGGCAACACCTATCATTATCGTCACTGCATTTACTCTGTAAAGCTACCAACCCTTCCCCTGTCCGGCAAGGACCTGGTGGGTGGACGGGGCCTGCTGCTTTATTGGGCAAAGGCCTTCAGTCAGGAATGCAGGTGAGAAGCTGTGCCCCAGCCTTGTGTCTCCATGTCTAGGGCCTACACAGACCACAGGGTGATGACACTCACCCACCCTGCCTGTGAGGCCCGGGGAAAACCTAGTCACCCTCCCTAAGACCTCCCCAATCCCCTGAGCAGCCTCCAGCTAGCTTTCCAGGCTGGAAATCTCAGCGCTCCTCTTTGTATCTCTTCCAGATACTCAGATCATCCTCTACGTCCTTCACCCTCACGGGAATCCTAGGAGCAGCGCAAACCCTCCATCCTGGGGCGGGAGCTCCCGTCTCCCCTGAGTCACTCACGGCTCGTTCACCAGCCACAGGATGAACAGGGCCTTGTGACAGGCTGGTCTCTCCCTGCGATGCCCTTCCCCACCATGTCAGCCAGCTCCAGCTCACCTCTCCACACGCCGTCTGCTACACAGGCTGTCTGGACACTCCCTCTGCACCGGCCACTTTCCATGGCCATCTGCAGATGGGTTCTTCCCGGGCCAAGGAGCAGGGCTTGTGCAAATCTGCAATCCTCGCTTCCCACACCCAGGGAGTGACTGCTGCGTGGACAAAAAAAGGAAGAGGCACCAAATGCTAACCTACAGTCTGTAATTCATGGGGTCTTCCAGTCTCCTCCACCAATGTGTCATCAAAGCAAGCAGTCACTGATTGTAACTATTGCTAATAACAACACCCAGGCACAGCACTCTCTTCAAACATTATTATCTTCTCGTTTCAACCGCCCACTGAAATACTGATTATTATCCCATTTCAGGTACGGAAACTGAGACCCAGGCAGACTAAGTAACACGCTCTAAGTCACTCAGCTGCTAAAGATCCTAGACTCAGACTCTGGCCGAAAGCTCTAGTCTTAACTAACCTCTCTCCAAGCCTGCCTTGTGCTGGCCCTCGAAATCCAGACCCCAGGCTAACGTCTACCACTGGAGCCAGCTGACAGCTCCCCTTCCCTCGCTATCCCACAACTGGATCACTGAAAACTTACCGCGAGGTCACCTGAGCAAAGGAGACCTTTCTCCTCATTCTGGAGTGGAATTTAAATCTCCCTCCTCCCCCTCACGCTTTTCACTTCATCCTTGAGCCCATCCTGCTCTCCCCAGGGCTTGATCCACTAATCTGGGCCAACTGTGGCTCAAGGGAGAGGAATCTTGGGCAAAATATCACCACTGTCCTCTAGGCCCACCTGCTACAGTGTCCAGCTTACAGACCACCCCACCCCCACCCCCAGAGGTGGGAGACCGCCACATTCCTGCTGGTGGCTGGGCTGCAAAGTACAAAGCAGGCGGCCACATCCTCGGCCACTAGGACAAAGAGCAAGTACTGGAGAAGCTGAAGGCCCAGGGCGCTGCTGAGCACGACACGGGCCATACCCACGCAACAAGGAAGGGCTGTTGCCCAACCGTGGGGAGAAGGTGGCGTGAGGTCCCCGGGACACTGGGGTATGATTCCTGGGGGACAGGTCAGTAAAGAAGCCATATCCTCCCGGTCCACCACTCACCCTCTGAGCCTCGAGTCCCTCACCTGAAGAATGGGGCTTTATCTCTGGGGGCTGCCAAGAGACTTAAGCGAGCTCACCCCAGTGGCCAGTACAGATTAAGGGCTCAAAGCAAATTCATTCATTCATTCATTCATTCATTCATTCAAGAAACATTCAGGGGCGCCTGGGTGGCTCGGTTAGTTAAGCATCTGACTTCGACTCAGGTCACGATCTCACAGTTGAGTTCGAGCCCCGTGTCGGGCTCTGTGCTGACAGCTCAGAGCCTGGAGCCTGCTTCGGATTCTGTGTCTCCCTGTTTCTTTGCACCTCCCCTGCTCACACTCTGTCTCTGTCTCTCAAAATTGAATAAATGTTAAAGAAGAAAAGGAAGGAAGGAAGGAAGGAAGATTCAGTGAAGGCCAATCACGTGCTGGGCCCTGGGCTAGGTGCTAGGGATACAGTGGAAACCACTCAGGCAATATACAGGCCTTGTGGAGCCTTTCATTCCCACAGGGGCAACAGGCAACCAACGAGGTACAAATTCAGAAACATGAGCGTATTTGGGAATGGTATGTGCCTTAAAGAAAAGAGAATATGGTGCTGGGATAGAAAGGGGTCAGGGCAGGAAGGTCACAGAAAGCCTTCATGAGGACATGTCTCAGCAGATCTGGAGGAGGAAAGGGAACAGCAAACCATGATGCCTGGGAAGAGCATTTCTGAAAGAGGGAACAGCACGTGCAAAGGCCTCACTACACTAACTTGAAGACTATTTTCGTGATCACTTGAGCCACACCCCGTCCACTCCATAGAAGCGGCACATACAGCTGGGAGGACAGTGAGCTGGGCATCCGGAGAACAGGGTTCTAATCCCCTTGCTTCCCCTAAACCACCATATGGCTTGGGACCATGACCAACAAACACCCTTTGATCTGTAAGGGTCCCGATAAATCCAACGATCCCTGATCTGAGGATCTGTAAATGGCTTGCATTCCCTCAATCTCCTTCCTTTTCCCCTCTTCCAATCCACCCACCTCTTGAAGTAATCATGATTTCCCCCAACCCCCCCCCCCCCCGAGTGGCCCCGTAAGTGAGGAGGCGGCTGAGGATCAAGGAAGACAGATATAGAGATGAAGGCAATAGCTGACAACTGATCTGCTGCACTCTCTCGGTTCCATTTCCCCATCTGTAAAATGGGAATAGTACCCCCCGCCCCTGCCTACAACACAGAATTGATGTGAAGATCGAGTGGAAATGCCACATAAGGAAGCTACCCTGCTTTATACAGAAGGGGTTCTATCTGCTTCTGGGTCTTTTGTATCCTAAGTGCTACCCTGTGTTCTGGACTAAGGCAGAAAGGACAGAGAGGGGAGGGAATGAGAGTTAATGCCAGATACTCTACGAACAGTATCTGATTGTTCAAGACCAAAGCAGGGTGCCATGAGAGGGAGCCTTCTAAAAACACAGAAGCTTAAGGGCTGGCTCTCAAAGATTCTCATTCACTGAGTCTGGGACAGCCCCAGACGGGTAATTATTATTGTTTTAATTACACAGTTGATTCCGATATGCACTCATGGTTGAGAACCACTGATTAGTTCTACCAACCCTGGAAGGTAGGACATATTAGTATTCCCATCTGGGAGCTGGGTAACTAGAGCACAGAGCGGCTGTCTAACTCCTTGGATCACACAGCTAAGATCTGAACCAGACAGTTTGCTCTCGTTAATCATGAGGCTACACATTTTTTTTTTTTTTTTTTTTTAGGTTTTATTTTTAAGTAATCTCTACGCCCAACGTGGGGCTCGACCTCACAACCCCGAGATCAAGAGTCGCATGCTCTAGAGACTGAGCCAGCCAGGTGCCCCAGGGCTACACAATTTCTTGAGGCCAGTCATACAGACTCCCACTGCATCTATACATACATACTCCTGTGCAGCCCTAAAAATACAAAAACCAACACCTCACATTCACAGGTCAACTGTTAAAGTTAACTGCATTAACTTTCAGAGAAACTTCTATGGCAGGACCGACTCCTTCCTCACTTGGCATTATTGGGGAATAACGTGTTCACAGAAGGCAAGTTTGTAGGTAACTTTGGAACTTTTCCTGCTTCTGATCGACTTCCTGTTTTAGGTGGTTAATGCCGAATTGCATTTCACTCTCCCTTGCTTCCTCGAACAGAGAACACTGGACAGAATATACCTCTCCTTGGGAAAATTTCTGTCTCTATGGCCCATCAACTTTGTAACTTCTGTAAGGTGTATTCCGGAACGAGAGGCCTCCTTGCCCCCTTACCAAAAGGCTCCCAGTTGCCTGCCCAGAAACATGTCCACGTGTTTCTACCTCTGATAGAACCCTGTCCCCACCCCCAACCTGTCCCATGCCTGCACGGACACACACTAACTGAACTGGCTTACTGCTACTGACGTCATGAGGTGTGGACAGGACTTCCAGGCTTGTAAGAATGGTGTGTAAACTAAGAGTGAGTTGGTCCCGAGCAGGAAGGGTGGGGCGGGGGGAGTGGTGATACTATGCAGAACAGGGTCTTGAGTGGATTCTGTGCAAGGCAAGATTGACACCACGTGGAGTTAATTGTCTCAGGCTACAGAGTGTGGTCACTGGACCCTGAGGGCTCCCTCTCTCCTTCTCCTGCCTGAATTTCCCCCTTTCTTCCTCCAGAGTGGAGGCCAGTCTGCCCGATTCCTCTGGAATAAGGGCCAGAAGGCCCAAAGGAAGGTGCTGGTTTCGATGTCTTTGGAAGGTGTGGGAATATTAGACCAGACACCCCCCTGCAACCACAGAGACTCCTGAAGCCCTGAGCCCCTCCACAGTGGGGCCAGAGCAATGCCCTGTAACAGACTGGATTCCAGCAGTGGTTTAACGTTCTACAAAGACATGTCCACTGCAGATGCGTTCTGATAGCGGGGTTCTGGAGGCTCCAAAAAATGTTTGTCTTTGATTCCTTTGTGTGCAAGTCCTATCTTGGAGACAAGGGCAGCAGGCCCCTTGTGAAGACGGGTACAACTCCCCCAGTCCTCTCGCCCACACACCCCAACATAGTTCCAAGCAGAGAAGGGGCCTCTGGGGCCAAGCAAATGGTTGGTGAATTTCCTGAAAGCTCAAATAGCATTTGTTCAGTCAGTCAACAAACATCTATTGAGGGCCTATATTGTACCTGCATCTGGTAAGGCACTGGGGGATCTGATGGTGAACCAGCTTGATGAGGTCCCTTTCCTTAGGGATCTCCGGTCCTGAGTGGGTAGAGGAGAGAACAGTGAAGAATACACACATAAACAAAGGTTATCACAAGCTGGGACCAGAGTTTTGCATTTAACAAGGCTCTAGGGAAAGCCAGGGGTGGGGACAAACCTTGCACACAGTGGGCCCTGAATAAATGGATGTCTAATCCTCCCCCAAAGCAACTCCTCTTCCGCACCCCTGTCTCAGCTATAGGGATGCCACTGAGGCCCCTGCACTCTGGGCCTTCTCTCTCACATCCCACTTACTTCCACTTAGCACCCCCCGCCCCCTTTGCTGAAGCCAAGTGCAGATGCCTCCTTCCTGTAGCCCATCACCCACACTGGAGTCCTTTCTCTATGCTCAGCCAGATTACCCACACTGCGGTGGTTAAGACCAAGCGCTCTGAAGCCAGGCAGACCCAGGTTCAAGTCCCAGCCTCGCCACTATCTGCCTGAAGGATGCGGGGCAAGCCACTGAACTTGCAACCTCTGCTTTCCAGTCTGTCGTAGCACCAGACTCACCAGATGGTTGAGGATTAAACAAGATAATGCACCCGAAAGTCCCAGCCTAGAACCTGGTCATTAAGGGTTAGCGGTTTCTACGATTACTGTTATTAATAACAATATTAATGAAAACCTTTGCCGGAGCACCTGGCTGGCTCAGTCAGTAGAGCATGCGACTCTTGATCTCAGGGTCATGTGTTCAAGCCCCACGCTGGGCATGGAGCCTACTAAAAAGAAAAACAACAACAACAGAAAACCTTTGCTGACTCCTCCCTGCATGCCAAGTGCAAAGTCCTGGATGGTCAGAGCTCTCCCCTTTAGCCAGCTTCCCTGTTTTGTTTTGGGATGACTGGAGGGCAGGGATAAGCTCAGCAGGGTGGTAGAGTACACAGTGGGGCAGGGCACATGAGAGGTCTATAATAGACGGGGGGATCACAGAGCAGAAAGGGCCCACTTGCAAGAGGGAGAATTAGATGCGGTGGAACTCAAGCTGGGCCTTGAAGGATGCAGCCAGAGGGGGGGAGAGGAGACAGACGCCTCATGCTAGGAGTCCGAGCGGCTGCCTGGCACAGGAAGGAATGGCACCAACACCACAAACTCTGTGGAGTCAGCCTCAGCCTACTCAACTGTAAAATGGGGAGACCGATGGGCACTCCTTCATGGGGTTCCTCAGAGATCAATGTGACTGTGAATAATTTACATGACTAACTTGGCCTAGGACATGACCGAGGAACCTGAGGCCAGACTGCGAACCCCTGACACCAGGCCCATGTTAAGATTATTATATTGTTCTGTTTCTGCAGCACCAGATCCAGTATGGCATAGTCTCACACTAGTTGAGGAATAAATTGCTAGAAGGGTAGGCAGGCATTTGAGGCCTTGAATGCCATCACCAGGAGCTCACTTCTGCAGGCTGTGCAGGGTGGACCCGCAGATGTTTTAAACGGTGGCTGCTGTAGCCTCCGGGATCAGGAGCAGCGCGGAGGCCGGGTCATCCGTGGTGTCAAGGAGCCAAGACAGGGCCCTCCTCCCCAGCGTCCTGGGTACCACGCTTCCCGCGAGGAGGCTGAGACCAGAAATAAAGGCTCCAACAGCCACGTTGCCAAGGCTGTTTGCCATGGCAACCTCAGGGAGCCACTCGTGGGCCGGCT